GGCAGAGTGACAACCATGCCAGTGTCCAGTCTAGGCACACACTCGGAGCCCTGAGTCACCAAGTAGGAAGGTCTGGCTACCTTGTTGGTGAGACCAGAAGGAGAGAGAGCGCTGTCACCAGCCCTGCTGTCCCATCTGTCTCAGAGGTGAGCCCCAGGGCTGAGAGTGGCACCATCTTGGATCTCCTGTCCCAGTGAACTCCAGACGACTGAGGCCATATGGAGACTCCAGGTGACACTGCCAGCAGAACTGCCCAGCTGAGCCCTACCCAGAGAGAAGAATCTTGAGCACATAAATGTTGTTTGAAGCTACTACGACTGAGATGGGTTACACAGCAATCGATACGCGAAACACTTCAGGATTACTGGGTGCGCTCTCTGGGTAAGAGCTCACTCAATGACAGGAAAGGCAACTGCTCTTAGTTACATTTTCAGAGCCAGAAAGGTCTTTGACCAGCCAAAAACAAGGCCATATTTATCAGATCCCCTTAGGCCATTGTTGTTATTAAATTTCATTGAGAAACAAGTTGGGAAGGAGCTTGTAATCCAGGTCTTAGTGGAAGCTGGGGGCCCCTCCCTGCAAACCCACCTGCCAACTTGCTCCTGGAATGCCACGGGTTCCGAGCCAGGGGCTGCCTTCCTGGGCACCATGAAGGTGACTAAACCCCCCCAAACCTGCCTGCAGCAGTGACCCGGCTCTCCAAGGACACCTTCTGTCGAGGTTCTACAGAGGAAGGCACCGAGTCTGGAACTGAGAGGGTGGTTTGGGGTCCTATGAAATATCTGAGCAATTCACCTGCTCTCCACATGCCCCTACCTCCTCAGCTGTGAAACAGGGACCAAATAAAACAACTTACATCCCAGAGAGAGTATTAGGATGGAAACAGACCCACATACAGACAGTGTCCCACTCACTCCATGTCTCCTTCCACCGGGCCTATCCCCACGGGTTCCTGGAGGCCCTGTTTCCTCCAACTCAACATGAGACCTGGGAAGAGCCTGCTCAAAGTTCATGGTCATCAGTGGGGATGGTCCCACTCTCTAGAGCCAATTTAGAAGCCTCTGGGGATGTTTCTGACTGTCACACTGATGGAGGACAATACCTGACAATTGGTAGGCAGAGGGCTGGCATGCTGGACATCCAGCAATATATAAGACAGTCCACAAATGAAGATTTTGTCCCACATGACTTTGATAGACCCTCCTGACATTCATGTAGAGAAGAAACCTGCTCATCAGAGCCTGGGACCTAAGTCCATTTTACATATAAACACAAGAATATTTTTGCTCGATTTTAATACATGAAGAATGTTTAAAGAGTGTGAAAATCAGGCAAAGAGTATACATTTTTGTTTGAAACTTTACCAACAGTTGGGATTTTAGAAATCCCATCACTACGAGCAGTGCCACTCCTGGATTTTACAGCATACCTGTGTCAGTCTATCCTTGTCCCTGTCACTTGCATATTGAGTCTTCATATAAACATGCAGGTACTTGTTTAGCCTTTATTTCAAATGTAAACATACATATATATGCTCCAAATCATGTCAAACATAAAGGAACATTGTCTTCTCTGAAATTCGAACTTATTCAAGAGAAGAGGTGCAATACTAAATTTTGTTTTGTTGTGTTATGAATTACTTTCCATTCCCTTCTCCTTTCTATCATAGTTAGACCATTAAATTTATTTTTGTGGGTACAGGTAGGATATCTTATCTATGAGTTTCACTTCAAGATAGTAATGGGATCATTTCAAAATATTTGTTGCAAAAGAGGGGTGCTGAGTGGGAGAAATTTGAGAAGAACTGGCTCTAAGGCCTTGCTACTCAAAGGGTGGCCTCGCAGCAGCAGTGGTGGCATTCCCCAAGATCTCATTAGAAAAGCAGAATCTCAGGCCTGCCCCTGGTGGACTAAACTAGAATCTGCCTCTGAGCAGGGTCCCAGGTAAACAGCCTGCTCCTGAAGGTTTGGGCAGTGTGGCGCTGCAGCTCCTGGGCCCAGGTGAGGGGCATCACTGGGCCTGCCACGCACAGTGCTCTGTCCTTGGCCCCATGGTGTGGCTAGGAGGTGCCTAGGAAGGGCCACACTGGGCAGGACCCACCCAGCCAGGGCTACGGGATGCCAGCCTGCCAAGGGGCAAGTTGCCCCAGACCAAAGCTGAGTCCCCAAGGAGGTGCGGGAGCTGTGACTCGCTCTTTGGGAAGGACTTCAGCAACAACCACCAGGGAAAGCTGGAGGAAAATTCCTTGGCAAGATCAGCCCCCAGATGGCTGAGGTTTTCTTGAACAGAAACGTGGGAGGCTTGGGATGGGGCTGGGCTTCAGCTCGGCCACTTCCTTGTTTCAGGACTTTATGAAGCTCCTCAGTGTGTTCTCTGTCAAATGTCATCCCACGCTGGTGGTGAGGATTACATGAGGACGTGGAGGAGCCAGCGAGGGGTCTGGCCCACAACAGGTGCTCAAAGCTCTCAACAGCTCAGTAGGGCTTTCAGATGCTGTGCACAGGTGCACCTGAGGCCGTCTGGAGCCCACTGCACAGGGGACAAGGGCAGCTGGGACCCGCATTCTCAGCAGCTCTGTGTAAGGCCTGGAATCCGTGTCCCACTCGGCTCTTCTTGGCTTTGGAGAAGAAGGATATCTCCTGACCCCACTACCTCACTGCCTTGCTTTGTTTCTCGGATCCCGCCTAAGGCCTAACAGGCCTGGAGCTCAAGTCAGACTTCGCTGCCCCTGAGCCCAGGCGGAGGTGACTTGAGAGCAAAACGGGCTTGGAAACTGCCTCTGTGGCTTCCAAACTCCAACAGCTGGGAGCAAAGCAGCCGGGAAACAAGCCCATTTGTCCACCATTTGTTGAGCAGCTGTCATGAGCCAAATTCCGAGGAGGATGAATCAGATGCATGGTCCCTGCCTTACATGCTGTCCTCTTGAAGGCAGGCCAATGCATGCACACATGTGCAACGTGTGCCACGAGCTCAGAAAAGCGGCCAGGGGTTTGGAACAGGAGAAAAGCTCAGGCACTGTTGGTGAGGTGGGCAGATGTCGTGGAGGAAGGCCCCAGAAGCACAGCACAGAGACACACCCAGAGCATGGGGAAGGGTACAGGCTGTGGAGGAGAGAGGTCTGGCTACAGCCCTCACTCCGTCTCCGGGTGCTGAGTGTGCTGGGTGTCTCCACGCACCCCACACAATCCCTGTCCACCCTTCTCCACCCCGCTCAGGGCCCTGGAGGCTGACCTCTATGCACTGCCCTCTGGCTTCTGGTTGGCAGGACCAAAGGGAGGCAGCCATAGGACATCTTGGGGAGGAGGGCGGAGGGGGGCTGAGGAATATATGCTCCTGGCTCCCTCCCTGCTGTCTGCTGGTTTGACACTGCCTGAGTTCCTCTTCTAAGGCTTCTGTCGGTGATGCTCCCACAGCTGCAGCTCTCCCCAGTTCCAGGAGCCTCTCCTCCCCTTGTGCCCTATGGTTTAGGGTGGAAACAGCATCCCAGTGGGCGCTGGTTCCTGCGTGCATCCCCGCCCCCCCCCGCCCCCGGTTCCCTTAGCCCTGCCCACCACACCTCTGAGGAGAGTCCCCTCTGGAAACACTGCTCCGTTTCCCCGTTTGAGCGTCCCCCTAAACGGTGACCACCAAATCTAACACTTTCCAGCTTTATGACCTTGGGCTAACAGTAATAATTATTATGTCTAACTATAGCCATGTCATCATAAATACTGGATACTTACAAGAAGCCAGAACGTGCTAAGGGGTTTTTTTGCATTTTTTTAAACTTAATCCTTAACAACAGTCCTATCAGACTGGTATACTACTGTTTTTCCCATTATTTAGATGGGGAAGGCAAAGCATGGCAGGTAAGTCACCATCTGGTAAGCAAGGAGTTGCCATTTGAACCAGAGTCAGTCCACTTCCAGGGCCCAGCTCTTACACTGGTCAGCTCTGGGAGCTACAGCATCCTTGTCTGTTTCGGAAATTCTGAAGGGATGGCAGGCAGAATAGCTCAGATAAAACATACAGGAGCTGGCAGAAATGTGAAACAAGGCTTGGTGAGAGGCGGGACTAGAGAGAGAAGGTAGGCAGCCTTCCCAGAGAGATGAGAGTCACTAGGACTATGATCACGAAGAAGGAGAAAGGAAAGCGAGCAGGGGCTGAGGATGGGTCCAGAGGAACAGGACACCGACAAGAACAGAGATGGCAGGAAGTTGACACGCAGACTGGGAAGGAAAAGAAGGAGGGAGAGAGCTTCTACTCCCACCAGGCCCACCGCCGGGGACTGTATTTAAATCATGAACACTCACAACAACATTCAACCTAAGGAAATGTGGTGTCGATCCCATTTCATTTCATAAACGAAGAAACCGAAGTTCAGAGTGGTTAGGAACGTGTGTAAAAACTCAGTCTGGGGGCCGGCCAGGTGGCGCAAGTGGTTAAGTGCAGGTGCTCCACTTCGGCGGCCCGGGGTTGACAGGTTCGGATCCCAGGCGTGCACCAACGCACCGCTTGGTAAGCCATGCTGTGGCGGCGTCCCATATAAAATAGAGGAAGATGGGCACGGATGTTAGCCCAGGGCCAGTCTTCCTCAAGAAAAAAGGGGAAGATTGAAGGGGAAGATTGGCATCGGATGTTAGCTCAGGACTAGTCCCCCTCACAAAAAAAAAAAAAAAACAAAACTCAGCCTGAAGTGGCAGAGCCAGAATCAAACTCAGGTTCACCTGACTCCACCTCCTCTTTCTGGGAGAATGAGAGGGGGAAGGGAGCTCAGAAACCTATGAAGGAAGGGATTTGAGAAAAAGGGGCATTTAAATGATGTCAACAGTGCTCACAGTTGATTTTAGCAGAGTCCAAGGAAACACATCTCCTCACCCCCTGTGCCCACCAGTCACAGGTAAATAATCTCTGACTCACAATGCATTTTTCAGCCAAGGTGATACTTTGCCCAGCGTCTTCCGCCTGTCTGTGGTTTGGTTGTGCTCCCATTCCAGACATGACCTTAGCCGTTCTCTTACCTCTGGATTTCCTCTTGTTAAACACAGACTGCCAGATGATGGTGAGGGTGAACAGCAGAACACTGAGAATGCCCACACAGCACACGAGCACTGCATACACGTAGAGATCTGAAAGGCAAGGACACGCGAGTGACCATCGGGATGGGCCACACCAAATAAACTTCATACATTATACAAAAACCAACGCAAAATGAACCATAAACTTAAGTGTAAAATACAAACTAGGAAACTTTTATAAAAAACATAAGAGAAAATCTTTGGGATCTAGGACAAAGGAGAGAGTTTTTAGATGACACGGAAAGCACCATCCATATAAGGAAAACTTGATAAATCAGATTTCATCAAAATTAAAAACTTTTGTACTGTAAACACCCATATGAAGAAGATGAAAAGTCAAGCTACAGACTGGAAGAAAATATTTGCAAATTACATATCCAACAAGACTAGTATCCAGAATATAAAGAACTCTCAAAACTCAATAGTAAAAAATAAACAATCCTATTAGAAAATAGGCAGAAACATACAGAGAGATTTCACCAAAGAGAATATATAGATAGAAAATAAGCACATGAGAAAATGTCCCCAAGTTCTTCCTTAGCCGTTAAAGAAATGCAAATTCAAACCACAATGAGATATCCCACACCCCTATCAGAACAGCTAAAATAAAAAATAGTGACAATACCAAATGCTGGCAAGGGTATGGATAAACTGGGTCACTCAGACATTGCTGGTGAGAACGTAAAATAATACAGCCACTCTGGAAAACAGTTTGGCAGTTTCTTAAAAGATATATCTACAGCTACCATTCAACTCAGCAATTGCGCTCCAGGGCATTTATCCTGGAGAAATGAAAACTTAAGTTCACACACAAACCTGTACATGCATATTTATAGCAGCTTTATTCAGAGTAGCCAAAAACTGAAAACAGCCCAGATGTCCTTCAGTGGGTGAACTGTTAAACAAACTGCGGTCCATCCACACTGTGGAACACTACTCAGCAATAAAAAGGACTAAACTACTGACACACACAACAACCTGGGTGACTCTCCAGAGAGTTACGCTACGTGAAAAAAATCCCAAAAGGTTACATACTGTATGATTTTATTTATATAACATTCTTGACATGACAAAATTATAGAAATTAAGAAGAGATCAGTGGTTGCCAGAGGTTAAGGAGGAAGTGGGGGATGGCAGGAAAACGGGTTTGGCTATAAGGTACCCTTGTGATGATGGGAATGTTCTGTCTCTTGGCTGTATCAATGTCAATATCCTGGTTGTGATATTGTACTATAGTTTTGTAAGATGTTACCATTGGGAGAAATTGGGTGAAGGGTACAAGCTGGTACAAAGGATCTCTCTGTATTATTTCTTAGAAATACATGTTAATCTATAATTATCTCATAAATTTTTTTTAAAAGGTCCAATAGTTAAATCGTGTTCATATGTGTCTTAGTTTAGGCTACTACAGCGAAACACCATAGAGTGGGTGGCTTAAACAACAAACATTTATTTTTCACAGCTGTAGAGACTGGGAAGTCCAAGGCCAAGGTGCGGGCAGATCTGGTGTCTGGTGAGGTCTCTCTTCTGGTTTGGAGACATCTCTTGGTGTCTTCATACGGTGGAGAACAGAGAGAGAGCAAGCAAGCTCTCACGGGGTCTCTTATAGGGACACTAGTCCCATTCATGTGGGCTCCACTCTCATGACCTAATCACCTCCCAAAGGCCCCACCTCCTCGTACCATGACATTAGGGGTTAGGATTTGAACATACGAATTTTGAGGGACACAAACATTCAACCCAGAACAATATACATACATTTGTTAAACTCCAATGATAAACTTTATCATCAATCTGATTGACAAAATGCCAAAACTCCTCAGAAAGTTAAAGAGAAGCCAAAAGCATTATTTTAAACTTCTATGCAACAAAAGGCTGCAGACGTTTGAACTTAGCAAAAATGTTTCTCTCACTTAAAAGAACTTTCTCTGACTTAAATTTCTTCAGCCAACAGCCATTTATCAGCTATGTTCATCATGCTCCTAGATGCAAGAACACCCAAAGGTCTGCTCATCAAGAAATCAGAGGGCTGCCCAGTACCTGCAACAAAAGGAATGTGTGCCCAGTACTGGAAACACACAGAGAAGGGGCCCAGCCCAGCCTGGAAAGGCTGAGGGGGGCCTCCCAAAGTGCTGAGTCATATTTAAAATAACACAGAAAATGCAAAAGTACAGTGAGAGAATAAAAACAGAGAGAGAGAGAAAAAATAGAGAGAAAAAAAATAGAGAGAAAAGAAGTCATCAGGCCTCCATCACCCTGAGATAACTACAGCTAACATTTGGTGTTCTTTATAATGCGTATGTATATATTTTTAAATTAAGATCACACAATTTCATATCTTTTTATTTAATCTCATTTTCTCATTAATCTCTCTTCAAAAAGTGATTCTGAATTGTTTTCAAAAATATGATAAAAGTTTATCATGTTCTAAGTGACTTAACAATATTATTATTGGCTGCTCAAAGTGTTTCCAACTGTTCCCTGTAAGAAATGATTCTATGACGAGCATTCATAAGCTTAGACCTTAATGCATCTCTCACATTATGCTCTTAAGATTAAGCTCCTGGAAGTGGGATGGCTGAGTCAATAGGAATGCACCTCTGTAAAGCCCTTGGGACCTGGAGAAGCAGTTAGTTAAGTGCTGAAATTGAAAAAGCCAGCATGTTAGGGGTGGCAGGGTGGCTGGCTTCCACAGCGAGCCTGGAGAAGCAGGTAAGGCATGGGCAATGAAAGAAGGGAGGAGAATGGGGTAGAATCAGTCATCTCGGGTCCTTCCGACTGTCCCTCTCTGGCCTGTGCTCCAGAGAGGCCCAGTGTTAGTCTCTTCCCTGGAGTCCATGATTCTTTCTGTTTTTAGGCTTGGTCAGCATTTTTGGCAAAGCTAGTTTGAGTGGGTTTCTGTTCCTGGCAACTTAGAAGCCTGGACTAAAATAGGTAGAAAGCGAAGCAGCACAAGGTCGCAGGTGAAGGGAGCACCTGCACTGATATTTAAGGGAGTGAGCAGGGGGTAGGGCAAGAGGAAGAGTCTCCTAAAAAAGGGAGCCAGGAGCCAGTCCTAGAAGCGCAGGAGGACTGGAGTGAAAGTTCTAGAAGCCAAGAGAGTAGAATGTTGTAAGAAAGATTTCTTAATAGCATCAAGTACTGCTGGAAAACACCCATTGGGTTTTCCCACTAGGAAGCTACTGGAAAAGTCCTGGGGCAAAGCCAATTCAGTGGGATGGTGGGAGCAGAGCCAGATTAGAGGAGTCGAGCTTGCTTTCTCTCTGTTCTCCACCATATGAAGACACCAACCTCTCACAGGGTGTGAGAAAGTTGAGACAGAAATAGAGAAAACTCTGTCCTATAAATAAAATCAAAGCTGCCTCTCTATACAGACGCCTGTGTCTCAGACGTGTGGGCTTTGTGGATTAGTATGGTGGGGAACTCTGCGAGTGGTAAGAGTTAGGAGAGAGGCATGGGCCCGCATTTAAACAACACGAAACTCGGAGGGACAGAGCAGAGGTCACAGACCGGGATTCATGAGAGGATACAGGATGGGCCAGAACATGGAGAACACATGGCCAGTCCCGGATTTACACACCATTGAGCAAACCACTCCGGGAACAGGAGTGCAGAGCCAATTCCGGCACAAGAGAGATGGTAAACAACGCGGTCATGTTGCCAGGCAGACAGAACGTGGGGCAAGTGGATGCAACATCCGCCTCAAAGGGATTCTGGAGATGCCGGCCCCTGGACCAAAAGGGCATGGGCAATTTGGCTTCAGTCTCCTTTTTGGAATGGAGAGAAAAAATTGTCTTACTGAAGTTTCTGTGCCACTGGAGCAGAGCGACGTGACCCACGAGCTCACCTCTTCATCAGAATTCTTCCCTTGGTTTTGGGACTGCAGGAACCGAGGAGGGATAAGGTCTCAGCAAGAATCTCCCGTGTCCCCAGAAGCATACCGCAGACATCTGTGGCCCACTCTGCCCTGGCAGGAGGCGAGGGGCTCCAAGAGGCCCACATTATGGTTTCAGATCACAACCTCCTCGACGTGGCACAAAGGGGGCTCTCCACAGGCAGCCAGGGCTATAGAATCATAAAACATCTGGCCAGTCGGAAAGGCTCAGCTATATGGCCAAGCACACAGGCCCTCCGGGCAGTGGACACTGGCCAAAGCACCAGCCGCTGGCACGTGGGTCCCCACAGGCGCAGGATCAATTGTGCCTGCTCTGTTGTGTTCTTGAAGCTACAGGAACCATAAAAGGTGTCACCCTGCAGAAGCAGAAAAGCTCAAAAAGAAGACCTGAGTCTTTCTGGGTTGGGCAGCAACTAGTACCCCCAAGTTCTGGTTTTCAACTCCGTTCCAAGCATTTCTTCTGCTGCATAAAGACAATTGCCCTGCTGCATCTACTCAAAACACTGAAACCACCTTCCCTGTTTTTCTCTGCAAACAAAGGTTAAACCCTGAGCCATTTAAGCCAAGGTCACAAACTCTGAAGACGTCAGGGCCAGCTTTTCCCCTGGTGAGCCAGAGCAAAGCGGTGCCCTGCCCCACAGAGGTAGCTCGGCTCCAGGCAGCTGTTCTCAAGCCAGAATGCCCACCCAGTGTTGCCATATCTTCCGACTTTTCCTTTAACTTTTACTTAAAAACCTCTAATTATAAACATTGCTCAAAGGTTTTAAAACTCAGACCAGGCCAAACAATGCTTGTCCAAAGGCTGAATCTAAGCCTTCAGGTCCAAATTTAACAAAATATCTGCATTTAATCAAATCTGGGATTAACTTTTAAAATATCATATATACCTGCACACTCAAAAAAATTCTAAAAGTCCTCTTATATTCCCCGAATTCATTTGCAGTTTTGTCTTTTGCCATTGGGCTGCCAAAGGCACCAATGTCGTTTTTAGACTCAATTGTATGCCTCCATGCAGAAAATGTCTTCCCACCGCCCCAGCCCAGGCCTCCCTGAAGCAGATGGTGGGCCGGCAGGCTGGAGTGATGCGCACACGGCAGGGAGGCCGAGATGGGGGTGCACGATGTCCTGTGCCAGCTCCCGCCCTCCCAGAAAGCCAAGCCCCACACGCTAGGCCAGGCAGAGCTGGCCCACTGAATAGCAGACAGCACCTGTTGCCAGGCAACCCTGAGGCCGACTGGGGTATTCAGCGCTGCTTTGAAACCCGGTGACCCCAGCATTCCTCAGCACAGGGAAGGAAACCAACTCTCCCCAGACCACTGAATCTGGAAAGTCAATTCAGTCCTGTACATTTCCAGGGCAAATGCAAACGCATCCGAGATCGGGGTTCTGTCAAGAAAACCGTGTACTTCTACTGTTTTTTTATCCAGCCTGTAATACCATCTTACTTGGGGCGAAATACCTGAGCAATAGCCTGGAGGGATTTAACTCACTCCAGCATCTCACCAAGAGGCCTGACAATGCTTTTTTTGTGCTGCGGGCGCACAGCCAGGCCAGCTAAGCCCCAGGAAGATGGATATCCGTCCGCAAGCCCTCCTGCAGCTCCCCCATCCAGGAACAAAAGGGCAAAGGCCTGGGATCAGACGCCAGGGAATTTCAACTGCACCCCTGACCTCACCAACGCTGTGGCTGGGTTGAAAAAGCAAAACACAGGGACGCTGCTGCCACTGCCGAAATCATAGGGAAAGCCCTTTGGAAACAACTGTTCTGAGGCATCATACATAGTGAGAATCCCAATTCTGCTTTTCTGAAGGGACCTAATCCTCTGTGTTGAGAAGAGAGCGCATGTTGGGCTACGGATTTTGTGTCGAGTTAGGTGGAGAGTAACTCTGATATCCTGTAGCTACACGTGAATTATAAAACATTATTAATTATACAAAGTGTTTTAGAGATGCTGATTATGCTGCAAGGCATGTCAGGACGAAATGCTACAATCCTTCCAGACATATAAACTCTTGTTTTTTGTACTGCAGTATTTTCAAAATATGGTCCTCAGACCACTTGCATCAGAAACACCCCAGGCCGATAAAGTGCAAATTCTTTGATCCCTTCCTAAATGCAGTAATCAGATTTTGGGGGTGTGGGGGGGAGCCCAGAGTCTGGGTTACTAACACAGCCCCCCCCAGAAGATCCTTATGCATCTGATGATAAACAGGGCTCTGGCTGTCACAGCTGCCAGTCACCTACCTCGAAGATCCCCCGGACTCGCCATACTCCCACCCATCACAGGGCCTGGGTCATAGGGCAGCTCCAGAAACATGGAGTGAATCAATTGCTTTTTCTACTGCTTCACTCCAGGAGGAGTGAAATCACTTTCATCTTTTTGCTAATGAATAGGCATTCCCTGAATGAAAGGCTGAGGAAGGGAACCGGGGATTATTTTGTTAGGAAGGGGTCATCAAATAAAGAAAAAGGCAGCTACAAAACAGGCAGAAGAAAAGGCAGGGAATACAAAGAATCATTGTGGGAGTCAAGTGCAATCTGAGAAAAGAAAATTTTTTTTAATTGAGGTCACATTGGTTTATAACGTGTAAATCTCCAGTGTACAGTATTATATTTCAGCTTCCGTATAAACTGCATGGTGTTCACCACAAAAGTCTAGTTTCTGTCTGTCACCGTACATATGTGCCCCTCCAACCCTTCACTCTTCCCTACTCCCTTCCCCTCTGGTAACCACCACTCTGTGCTCTGTATCTGTGTGCTTGTTTGTTTATCTTCCACATGAGTGACGTCATATGGTAATTATCTTTCTCCGTTTGACTTATGTTGCTTAGCATAATACCTCAAGATCCATTCATGTTATCGCTTTATGACTACAAAATGAAACAATAAATTCTAATGGCCTACATGAGTGACACCTTATAGTTTGCAGACCATGTTCACAATTACAGTTACATTTTTCTAAGACAGAAAGTGCCTCAATCCACTGCTTTCAACTTGCTATTGGAAAAGGTAGGTTTGATTCCAGGTGCTCTGACCCTAGGGGAAGCTCTCCTTCCATCTCACCTGGTGAATTAACAAAAGGTGATGGTGAAGCCCCAAGGCACACACATCTCCTTAGATCCCTTTGGCAAGGTCGTTTGTCATCAATAAATGCCACACCTTCATAAGACGTCATCTTTCACAATTTCTGGATCACCTCTGATCATTAATCAGTTTTTCACTGACCAAAGTCTCGCCTGAGAACCCACAAACTATATTTTTTCATTGCTTATGGTCACAATCCTCAACCACTTTGTGATAATAATTTCTGTGAACTTTCCTTACTTCAAGGCAAGGTTTCTCAACCTCGGCACTCTTGACATCGGGGGCTGGAGAATTCTTTGTTGTGGGGGGCGGACCTGTGCATTGCAGAATGTTTAGCAGCATCCCTGGCCTCTACGCAGTAGATGCCAGTAGCACCAAAATGCTAGTTGCGCCAACCAAAAATATATCCAGACATTGGCAAATGTCCCCTGGAGGGGCAAAATCACCTCCTGTTGAGAACCACTGCCCTAAGGGTCCAGTCTGAGTGTGCATCAGAATCACCCCAAGGTCTTGTTAAAACCCAGACTGCTGGGCGCCAACCCCAGAGTTTCTGATTCCATATGCAAGGGTAGAGCCCAACAAAGTGCATTTGTCACAGGCTCCCAGTGACGCTGACGCTGCTGGTCTGGGACCAGCTTTGGGAACCACCACTCAAAGGTATGGCTGCACACTGGAATCACCTGGAAAGATTTAACAAGAGCCAACTCAATCAGAATCCCTAGAGATGTGGTCCAGGCATCAGTGTTTTTAAAGCTCCCCAGGTGATTCTAACATGGGTTGAAAATCACTTGCTTAAGGTATTCAAACTGTTTCTAAAACCCCAAACTCCCTAAGAAACCTGAGATAAAATTCGTTACAGTAGATGTACTGTTCATTTTTATATTTCTTGAAGATCTCTCCCTAATATCACCTAGGAGTTGGAATTCTGGAGCAAAACAAAACAAACAACCCCCAACAACGCAGATTGGAGCTTTCACCTCTATTCTTGCAAAATCTGTGGGCTGATCCCACCAGGGATTCCATCCTGCTCTTGAGTAAGTTTAAGGCACAAAAACAACTTGATGTTATGGCAAAACTAAGAAGTTAGGGTCCTTTATTCCTAGTCGATCCCTTTCCTGTTATCTAAAAGGGAGGTGGCTTCTTGTAATAAAGAAATATGCAAGCTTTACCTTCAAAAACTGCCCAGGTCTCTTTCTTTTTCTCAAGGGATGAATCTTCAGAAGCTTTGAGGGAAATCACTGTAAGACAAAAAAGAAACAGCTTAGCATATAGTCGAGTAGCTTATGGACTTGGCCCACGCCGTATTCCAAAATGGTATTATCACGGCACTTAGATTTATAAAGTAATTTTCACATTTGTAAAATCACATTTAATTATCAGAACTCACACATCACGGAGAGATGCAATGACTTACACATAACAACTGGGACACCTGAGGCACCGGAGAGGGGAATGAAGTTGTCTACATTTAAAAGTCAGTAAACGGCAAAGCTGGGACTCAGTTCAATAGAAGGCCCACTTGCCCCATAGATTTGCAAAATAAAGAGTTCCCCAATGGGAATTCCAAGAACCAAAACATTATTTGTTTCACCATTGTAGTGGACATCTGTCTAAAATGTAGTGTACTTGCCTGGGTATCCCTAGATAGAGGAGCCTGAGGTCATCTGACGACTCAGGCTCAGCGCCCTGAGCACCATTCTCCACGCGAGACAGTCACCCAGAGCAGCAGGCCTCTGATTTTGAGATTATTTTGTCTTTTTTCAGTCAGTGATTCATCACGGAATTCACTGTGCCTGCTTTCAACAGTCAGGGAAACAGAATTGAGCTACCCCGTATAAAACCTTGAATACCCACTAAAGAGTCTGGAACCCATGGAAAGTTTAGATTTTAGAAAAATATAAAAATTAACCTGACAAAAAATGCAAAATGTCAAGGACTGAGATTACTGTGCAATAGAACTTTCTGAGGTGATGGAAATTTTGTGTTTGCACTATATATATAGCAGCCACGGCCACATGTGGCTACTAAGCATGTGAAATGTGGCTAATCTACATGGGACTGAGGAACTGATTATGCAGTTCATTTCATTTTAATTAATTTATATTTAAACAGCCACATGTGGTCAGTGGCTACATACTGAGGAGCTCTAGAGAAGGGAATCTAGGACCTCAATAAAATGATACAGGTGGTTAGAATGGAGATTGAATCAATATGAGAGGCAAGAACTACAGCAAAGATGGTCTGGAACTTTAATTCTATTTACTGCCCCTCCCACAAACTTTTATATTAATATTGTGATGGATTTCAATTCTGAATTTTCCATCTTTTTATTTCTCTGAGCCTTGCATTAGTTATATCCTGACGGCCTATCTTTCAGATCACTAATCTCTTCATCTCTGTCTAACGTGCTGTTAAACCCATCTATTCAGTTTTAATTTCACTTATGGTATTTTTCAGTTCTAGATTATCCATTGAATTATTTTTTATATATATCCCAGCTCTCTAATGAACTTCTCCAGCTTTTCATCTAATTTTTCAACCATATTAATTATATTATTTTAATGTACATGCCTAATAACTGTCATATCTGCCTCACCCACAGGCTTCTGTTACCTGTTTTTGCTTTTGACTCTATCCCTTGATATGCCTGATTTTTTTTTAACTGAATGCCAGACATTGTTTATGGAAAATGAAGGAGGCTTTAGATAAAATTTTAGTTTCCTAGCAGGAAGTTAGAATAAGGGGATGCTCACCTAGTCCAATCAGGGTTTGAACCGTTGGAGGCTGGGTTTCAGCTTTTATATGGTCTAGTCTATTTCTGGTTTGCCCTTACTCTTAGGGTACAGTCCTTCAGGGATCTCCCCTGGAAAGCCTGGGGTATTTACCACAGCCCTTCCAATTTTCATCTCACTGTTAGAACTGCCAAAAGCTCTGCTTACCTCCGAAGCATCCCGATTGGCATTCTGCACAGCTTCTCTCAACCAGCACTGCTTAAGTATGGTTGAATTTCTTAAAGAGTTAAGTGTCACCGACAACACCCAATTGTACACACTTTAAAGGTTGTGATGCACTGATGTATGCTGGGTTGAAATACTAAATTGCCCCTTTATTTTATTTATTTATTTTTTTTGTGAGGAAGATCAGCCCTGAGCTAACATTCATGCTAATCTTCCTCTTTTTGCTGAGGAAGACCAGCTCTGTGCTAACATCTATTGCCAATCCTCCTCCTTTATTTCCCCCAAAGCCCCAGTAGATAGTTGTATGTCATAGTTGCACATCCTTCTAGTTGCTGTATGTGGGATGCTGCCTCAGCATGGCCGGAGAAGTGGTGCGTCAGTGCGCGCCCGGGATCCGAACCCGGGCCGCCAGTAGCGGAGCACGCGCACTTAACCGCTAAGCCACGGGGCAGGCCCTAAAATGCCCCTTTAGTTGTGTGACCTTGGGCAAGTCACAACTTCCTGGTGCCTTAATTTCCCCATTTGTAAAACAGGGATGATGATAAATGCCCATTCTCAGGATAAGTGTGAGGGTCAGATGGATTAACACATGTGAAGTCCTCAGAACAGTGCCTGAGACCTAGTGAGCCATTTTTACACACAAGGACGTTAGCTCCCTAAGAGCGCGGATTTTTGTCTATTTTACTCGCTGTTCTAATTCCCGCATCTAATTTCAGCATGGTCCTTTGCTGTCAGCCCTTTGCCTCAGGGTGTGAATCTTCAATCATTCAAATTGTCCACAAGAAAGGGCTCTCTGTCCTGCGGCTAAAAGTCTGCAGCTTAAATGGGCTGCTAACCACCAGCAAAGGCATGTGCCTTCAGATCACTTTTTATTCATCTTTTATTTTTTCTTTTCAGAAATCTTGGGTCCCTGATTTAATCCAATTACAATTCCCTTTGTCTTATTTGGGATAAAAGGTAACAAGGTCTCCCTAATCAACTTATGGAGACGTGTGTTGCAAGAACCAACAGACTGGGATTCTAAACTAACGGGGCTGCAAGCAAGGAATTAATGGATGTTCCTCATTTCTCCCTGGTGCAGTATTTTATGGGAAAGTGCAGCAACTTTGGCATATGATGATCAGCAACACTGGTCATAATCTCATTTGTTCCTATAAGAAAGGAAAATCTTTACATGGACTCTGCCAGAGCTTCAAAAATTTCCCTAAGATTCCACCATAACTATCTTGTTTCATCTGCTAATCCCGTGCTATCTCAAAGAGAATGTGATACACTGTCAAATTACGCATCTTCCACAGACCATAAGGACACACAGCAGTGGGACATGGCCAGGAGAGCAGGGCTTTGTAGCAACAAGCAGTGGTCTCCCGACTTGATTAGCACACCTCGCGCCTCACAGCACAGCTGCACACGGACAGAGCTTTCCCGTGGTCAGCCTGGAGATGCCGAGTGGAAGAGGCCACTGCAGGGTAGGCAGGATGGATGGAAGAGAGTGAAACGCCTCAAAGAAACGTTGTGCTTGACCAAGGAAAGAGTGGCAAATTTTCTAACTACACATTACTAATGTTGGTCAAAGACTTTCAGAAATAAAACACAAATCTCTTGACAGAAGAGCATTTGTAATGGTCTCCAATGAGTTTAGCCATCAGAAGGCTGCAGCCATTTAAACAAGATTCAATAAACATATCACTTTCAGCTGTGTTGGCCTCACCTTGTAGTCCAGCTGACTCTCGGACAATTGGGAAGAAGGTAACAAGCAGCTTTTCATACCCAAAGTGCTGGTTCTTCCTAAGTGTCAACTCAGGGGAGCTGCAAGTCCTTACCTCTGACAGCTACTTATGATGCGGGCAGTTCTCAGCCCCAAAGATTAGGGATTCACATGCACTCAGCCGGCCCGGGTTATCTTGAAGGGTCATGATAGTGTGTGGGAGCCCCACTCCTCTGTGCTTGGGTTTCCAAGGTGAGGAGGAGGAATGGGACCTCCATCCCTTCCCCGGAGGGAGTCTGACTGGAATAACGCTGCTTGACTCTCCCCCTACCCCATCTCCAGTCATCCTCCCTACCCCCCACTGGGAGGGGAAGAGGAGCCCCTGATCCAGGCGAGCTTCTGACACGCTGCCTCCTCTCTGAGTGAGAGGACCGTGGTCAACGCCCTGCTCAAGGTGGCCTCTGTCTTGCCACGTGCTCTAAGACTGGCCTCTCAGCAAATAGCTAACATTGAGGGTGGGCAGTGTGCACCCCCTTGGGAAGGTCTCGTTACTCCAGCTGCTGGGAGGGATGCCAGCTCTTCTTCCCAGAGAGCCCCGCCTGCAACCACTCATGTGCACTCTCCTCTTCCATCCTTGCTGTGTCTGGGGGCCCATGGGGGAGGGCAGAGCAAGCACCATCTTCTCCCACAGGGTATGGAGCCTCTACTCCCAGTGCTGGGCTTGAGTGGGGAGGAGGGTGTGCAGCTGATCAGGGAAGCAGAAGGAAGCCCAATTTGGCCTCAGCACGACACCATCTTTCTCAATGCAGCTTTATCAGAAATAAAGTGGGCATTGCGATTTCTGTCTGACTCCTATGCCCATTTATCAATAGGTTCAGGTTCACAGTGAAGAAGAAGAGTAAAGAGCACACAAAAGCTAAGTTATCAACTGACCTATTAATTTCCTTGGGACCCCGGCACCCAGTGCACTATCCTGGGGCCCCTCCCCAAGAAAGCAGAATCAGGGACGACTTGTGAGATCTACCATGTCACAGCCCCTCCAGGAAGAACTGGCTGAAAGTGGCCACAGGATCAAACAGTCTGGAAGAATGCACCCAGAGGTACCGAGACAAACTGATCATATCAGCCTCGAGTCTGGAGGATGCAGATTGGAAAGAAAGAATCTCAGTCAAGTCCCCTTTGATGGGACCTGTGGGGAAACCACCACTCAGAGAGGTGTGAAAACCGAGATTTCTAACTCGGACAGAACATCGTGCTGACTCCCCTGGGGAGGGCATGTTTCACAGGCTTTGGCAGACTGTGTCCCCTGAGTTCACGCCAAGACTCTGTGACAATGCCCTCTGAGCCGAGGGGCCTCCCAATCCCTTCCCAGACTCCTGTTCACTGATGACACTGAGCCTTTATCTGGACTTGCGCTGAAGGACTGACCTCGTCATCCATGGAGCAGACAGCTGATGAGGTCCTGGGAAGGCTCCCTTTCTCCCAAAATTCTTTCCCACCTGCTCACCTGTGCCCCCAATTCCTTTAACAAAGAATCCTACAATCAAAGGAGCTTAAATTGCAGCAATAGGTT